GATACCCAACCTGGAGCAAAGTTTCTTCTGACTTCAGAGGAGCTGAAGTTAGTCAACCTGACTTGAGATGGGTCTTTTCCCATGTATGGGTACAGGCATAGCCCACAGAGAGAACCAAAGTAAAGAGTCAGTCATAGCCAATATGAAATGTTCAAGGATGACATTAGAGAGTGCCAGGAAGAGTTTTTCAGTAAGAAGGAAGATTACTATTCAGAAGATTAGTTAATCTAGAGGCTGATTCTAAGCCACATGTGACACAATCCGCTGGCTACTGGAATTATATTCTGAGAGCTTTCATATATAGAATATTATATATGTATATATATATACACACACACACACAAAAAGCAATATTAATGATAATCTTAAGAAATATAATACACACAAAAAGAAGGAAAGTAACAAAAAGAGTTCACTACAATAAATCTGTGTAACACAATAGTAAGCAATAGGAAAAAACAAAGAAAGCTTGAAACAAGGTAAGTCAAATACCTATGAATTAAAGAAGAACGCCTTTAGACATAGGGCTAGTAGATAAGCACCACAGGTTGCTAGACACTACAAAAATGAGGCGAAACCCTTGCAAAAATCCATTAATATTTATAACATGATTTTATGCATTTTAATATGGAATGTATAAAGTGTAAAGTGTTGAGGACTTTCCTTCATAGGGTCGCTATGAGTCACCTACGACTGGACGGTACTTAAAAACAATAACATCAACATAGAGAGTGATCAGTTGGCCTAGTGGACAGAAAGCTATGCTACCAAACCAAATCTACAGCCCTCAGGCCTTTTTTTCAGTGTTTTTATTCAAACATTCTCCTAGGTCATATAGCCCTGGAGAGTCCACTTACCGTACAGGGATAACTTGTGGTTGCTGTGAAGCTGAACACTATGACACTGATGTGTCAAATGTGTTAATGGTTACCCATGATGGACAGTGTTTGGTGGAGCTCCCTGATTAAAATATGCTTGGAAGCAGGAGTGGCATCCACTTCCATAATAGCTTGCCTCCAGAAACCCTATGAACCTGGAGAAAGGATTAAAGTCATACAAGTGTTGAGGACTTTCCTTTATGGGGTCGCTATGAGTAGCCTGTGACTCAATGGCACTTAACAACAACAACAACAACATAAAGTATAAACCTAAGAAAACTCTAAGTTGTGAAACATTAAACAGAACACATGCAGAATAAACATTCTTGACGTTAGTGAACTGAGAAAACAGAACACATGCAGATTAACATTCTAGAAATTAGTGAGCTGAGATGGATTGTTAATAGATATGGTGTGTCAAAACCCTTCAAAATTGGCTTTTCTAGTCATTGCATTAACCCCCATTTGGACTCATTGTTTCCACCTACCTTAACTGTGAACACATTTTCTTGTAATTCACCAACAGCTGTGGGACCAGTATAAGAAAATACGTTCCACACATTGAAGAGACTATGTCACTGAGGCCAAGGTCAATCGACTGTAGCACTGTGACAAGGTGTAACCAGAGGAACCTTGGATATGGACCCACAGTTAGAGATTTTGCTTGCTGGATGATTGAAGAAAAAAGTAGACTTGTAACTTCTCTGAGATAAAGTTTGCTGAATAACTGAAGAAATCAGAGGTTTATTTGTGCTACTGAACTGAACCTGGACTTTCTTTAATTGAAGAGTTATGCCTTATTTATCTGGTTTGGACTGTTGGGCTAAACCTGGCCTTGAATTGTGTTATATTCTTTGCTTTCCCTATTGATAGACCCATTTGGTCCTGTGGCCATTGAGCCTGGTTTTAGTTGGTTTTGGTCAAACATTATTCTAAGTGGTATAGCACTGCTATGTGGCTGTGATGCTAAACACTGTGACACTGATGTGTCAAATGAGATAATGCTTACCCATGATGGACAGTGTTTGCTGGTGTTTCTTAATTAAAACAAGCTTGGAATCAGGAATGGCACCCATTTCCAAAATTACTGGCCTCCAGAAACTCTATGAACATAGAGAAACAACAAAAGTTATACAAGTTTTCAGGTCTTTCGTTCATAGGGTCGCTATGAGTTGTGTACTACTCAATGGCACTTAACAACAACAATCACCAACCTAGTTCCCGAATGAACCTCACAACTGTGAGTAAAGTATGTGGGTCAAATTGCAATAAATAATGCATCCAACGATTCGTGTGTGTTGGCATGTCTGATCATGGAGCTTTTTGTGTGGTGCTATGGATATTATTGATGAGGATGATAAAGTTAGACTCGGCTACTCCAAAGTTACAACTGCTCCTTCTGAAGGACATTTTTTTGTTTTCTGAAGGACATTTTAATCAGAAAATCAACTTAGTACACAGCTATAATGCCAGGAATAATAAACTAAAGAGGAATTGTGACTAATTCATAGTTACAAAGAACATTTCTAGATATATTCTCCAGTACAATGATGTGATAGAATACTACTTATATACAGAAGGAAGATATTTCAACAAAACTGTTATTCAGTTATACATACCAGCCACTAAAGTCAAAGATGAAGAAATAGAAGATTTCTAGGAATTTCACTGCCAATGCAATGATGCATTATTTGAATCAACCAGGTGCTTTCAGGAGAAAGGTGAGCAATCTCTTTTTAGTCTATTTCTTTTCCTCTGAAAAACCACCAGAGAGTCAGCAATGGGTTGGTTCTTATTCAATGGTATCCAATAAGCACAGCAACAAGAACCAGCTTTGCAGTCTGAAATTGATGTGACATGAAATAAACATGCATTAAATATAACTGGTGACTCTTTCTAAATAAATTTGCCAATTTCTTTTTCTATCTCTTTGAAAAATGAATTTGGTCTCTGTATTTCTATTGCATTAAGAATGCAGATTGCTTTTGGTAGGATTGCCATTTCACTATACTGAGTCCCCTATCCATTAGCAGAAACAGTTTTCTATTTGTTTAGATTTCTTATGGTTTCTTTCAGTAACATTTTGTAGTTTATAGACATATTTTGTGTTTCTACTAGTTAAGTTTATTCTCAAGTATCTCAATTTGTGGTTGGTTGTTGCAAATGGTATTGCTTTCTTTGTTTCTTTATCTATGTTTACTTTGTAACTGTAGAGGAATCCCCCTGATTTTTGTATGTTGATCTTGTATCCTGTCACTCTATTAAATTTGTCTACTTGGTTTTTCTGTATACACAATCATATAATCTGCATAAAAATATAACAACAGTTTTGCAACCTCTTTGTTGATACTGTTATGTCTTATTTCCTTCTCTTGTCATCTTGCCCTAGTAAGTACTTTCAAAACAATACTGAATATGAGTGGTGAACTGGGTTCCTGATCTCAAGAGGAATGCCTTTTGTCTTTCTTCACTTAGAATGTTCTTTCTTCATTTAGTTAGCTCTTGACTTTTTGTAAATGCTTTGCACTATGTTGAGGAAATTTCCTTCTATTCCTATTAGGAATTATAGGACTCCCTGATCTCAAAATCTCTATACAGCTGTAGTAAACAAAACAGGATAGTACTGGTACAATACTGGTACAAGACAGACATATATACCAAAGAAACCGAATAAAGAGCCCAGAAATTAACCTATGGCCAACTGGTATTTGACAAGAAAACAAAACCTCTGAACTAGAGAAATAACCTCTTCAACCGATGGTACTAAAAACTGGAATTCTACCTGCAAAAATCTAACTTAGAATCTATAACTCATACGTTGTTGTTGTTGTTGTTGTTGTTGTTGTTGTTGTTGTTATGTGCTGTTGAGTCATTTGCGACTCATAGCGACCCTATGCACAAGAGCCCTAAACCCTGCTCTATCCTGCTCCAACCGCACTGCCTCTGACCTAGCCATCCCAATTACCCCAGTCACCGAATCAATCCATCTCATAGAGGGTCTTCCCCTCCTGTGCTGTCCCTCCACCCTCCCAAGCATGATGTCCCTCTCCAAGGACCCGTCCCTCCTGGCAACATGTCCAAAGTATGTCAGACGATGGATGGTGAAGAGATTGAGATTGTTCACAGCTTCAGTTTGCTCGGCTCCACAGTCAACACTCTTGGCACCAGCAGCCAGGAAATCAAAAAGTGCATCGCGATGGGAAAGTCTGCTGTTAGGGACCTCTCTAAAGTACTCAGGAGCAACGGTGTCTCTCTGGAGACTAAGGTGCGCCTGATACAGGCCAATGGTCTTTGCAGTCGCTTGTTATGCATCAGAGTGGACAATGACTAGGGAGGACAGAAGGAGAGTTGATGCTTTTGAGCTGTGGTGCTGGAGAAGAGTACTGAATGTACCATGTACTGCCAGGAAAACAGATTCATCTTGGAGAGGATTAAACCAAGCTACTCCTTGAAGGCAAGGATTCTGGGGCTTCGTCTGACTCATACTATATATATGTAAAAAAAAAAAAATCAAGGTGTATCAGAGATCAAGGAATAAAGCCAAAAACCATAAAACTCATAAGAGATAAAATGGGACTTAGAATATTAGCCTATGGTATAAATAGGCTTGCAAATACACTCAGGAGAGGAAAATAATGCACAGCCAGGACAGCATAAGTTGTTGTTGTTGCTGCTTTGTGCTGTCAAGTTGCCTGTGACCCATAGCAACCTTATACACTGCAATTCCAAAGCCTGCCCTGTGCTGGGTCAGTCTCACTGATTCTGCAACACAAACCCTCTTTATCCCAGTTACTGTATCAATCCATCTCACCTGGGGTTTTCCTCTCCTGTGTTGTCCTTCCACCCTTCCAAGCATGATGTCCTTCTCCAAGGACTGATCCCTCCTGACCACGTGCTCAAAGTATGTGAGACAAAGCTTGTTAATTCTATTTGATACAGTAACTCTAACAGATTGAGGAATACTGAATGTGTTCTTCCTGTTAGATTTTCTAACTTCTCCTCTTTACACATTTTAACACTTTGTTTTGTTTTCTTGATATACCCTTTAAAAGTTTTTAGTCACTTCTTTTTTTAAAAAATATATTAATTAGCTTTTAATCTACTTTTGTCTTTGATTTTTTTTTTTAAAAAGAAAACCGAATTAGGTCCACTTCAATGTCCACTGATTTCTTTTTATGAAATTTATATGATGCTGGTAGGTCATATCTCAGTTCTGCAATAATATCTATCTTGATTTTCCATTCTGCAGCTTTCTTTTGAATGTGTTCTCTAGTTGATGATTTGTGTAAAGAATAAACAGCTGTTCTTGCCATTTCCAAAGCGGTCTTCAGAAAAACCATATCTGTTCCTTTATTATTCTTGGTCCCAAAGGGAGGGTTCATAATTACTGTATCAAATGACTTGGTCATTTTGTTAGATAATGAACAAACATCACATTGAACCTTGTCAACATTTGTTAACTCAAACTCTTCTACATTCCTGTTAAATATTTCCAATGCATCTTCATCTATGTCAAATCCAATACACAACCCTGCTCCTAACATTGCAGCTCCGATGCTAAGCACTCCACAACCACATCCTAGATCTGCAACCACTTTATTTTCAATGTCATCGTATGTGTTATGGATTGTATAGAGCATACATGCTGCAATGTGTGGTCTGGTCAGATACTGTTCTAAAAGTAGTTTGGGCTTTTCGAACTCATCTACCTGTTGCAGGCAGCTCTCAAGTTCCTTAAGCCTCAGTTTCTTCATCTGTTTTTTTTAAAGTGTGGAGTGGCAGAGTTTACCAGGACCAGATCTGCAGAGAAATCTGTTTAATCTGGATTTAATTCTCCATCGTCTGGGATCCACTAGCTGCTTCGCTCAAAACAATGCTGTTCAAATCTGACAGTTGCTCTGCGGGAGAAAAATGGGACAATCACCTCCCCTTATGATTTACAGTCTGGGAAACCCGAAGCAGGGTCCCTATGAGCAGAACTCACTCCACAGTGAGTCTGTTTCCTCCAGCGCTACAGCCCGGATGAAGGTAGGCTACAGGCAGTGCTCCGAGCCTGGCCCGGGCAGCTTTACCCCTCCACTCCCTTGCTTCTGAGCAATGGCTTGTGGAGTCTCTGATCCTGTGATTTTGGCCAGCTCCGGACCCACTTCCCACGTTTCATTCACCTCGAAGACCAACTTAGTCACTTGTTTTATTTCAGCATTCCTTCAATTTGCTTTGGTCTATGTTCTAATGTAATATTTAGAGCCATTTCTGACATTAGCATTGGTCTTCTTTCTTTTCCAGCCTATGTAATAACTTAGTGCTTCCTTGTAAATGATGTACTAGATATCATCTCAAACTGCATCTGGTCTTTTGGTCTTTGGTAAAAATAAGGTACCAGGTATTGATGGAATTCAATTGAGATGCTTCAGGAAACATGCGGCCCTGCTCATTCTTATTAGTGTATGCCAAGAAATTTGGAAGACAGCTACCTTGTCAAATGCTTGGAAGATATTTATACATCTTCACATTTAAAAAAAAAGATGTTCCAACAAAATGTGGACATTATACAGTAATATTATGTCACATGCAAGTAAAATTTTGTGAAAATCTTTTCAAAAATTCATAGATAACTGTCAGAAATTTAAGCTGGATTTAAAAGAGGCCATTGCACCACACATATTATTGTGAATATTAATGATTCAAAGTAGAGAATATCCTTAATATATTTACTTGTGTTATATTGACTATGCAAAGATATTTCACTGTGTGGATCATAAAATTGTGTGATTATCTAAACAGAACAAAGAAACACTGCATGGTTTAAAATCAAGAAATGTCTCCATAAAGATTGTATGCTTTTTATATAACTGTTTGATTTGAGTGTTGAGCTAATTAGTTGAGAATCTGAAATCTATGAAAAAGAATGTGGCATTGCTATTGGAGGAATACATATAAATAAAACTCCTTTGTTATTCAGATAACACAAACTCTCTTGCAGAAAGGGAACACATCTTGAAACACTGCAAAAATTCAAAGGCTAAAAGCCTTCTATGTGGATTACATTTCATCATCAAGGAGAAATACAGTCTTCTCTACTAGAACAACAGACAAAATAATTATGTTGTAGTTGTTGTCAGGTTCTATCTAGAAGACTCATAGTAACCTTAAGAACAGCAGAGTTAGACCCTGTCCTATCCTGCACCATGTTCATTACTTCTGTCATCTGCAAGCCCATTGTGGTAGTCACTGAGTCAATCCATCTAGCAAATGTTCTTCCTATCTTTGGCCAACCCTTTACTTTCTCCAACAAGTCTTGAAGGATTTGTTTCCTCCTGAAAATAGCTCCAAAATAGGTGATCTGAAGTTTCATCATCCTTATCCATAAGGAACGATGTGGTTGCATTTCCTTCAAGACATTTATTTCTTCTTTTGTCAGTCCGTGGTATATTTAACACCTTTTACAACTTTTTTGTCTTGGAAAAATTGTAACCACAATGCTCCTTAAACACATGGACAATTAAAGGTTATCCTACCTACTTCTCATTAAAGTTAGAAGAACTTCAGGAGTTTTATTGACACAGTTATTGTAACAATGTGTTCAAGTATTTTTGTGATTATGAGGAGGATAAGAATTAGGTAAGGTTTAGATTAAATGTTGAGTCACTATGAGTTGTTGTCAATTTGGCAGTACATAACAGAAACCACATTAATGCAAGACTAGCAAGAAAAAATAAATTTGCCTCGGAGAAAGTGCAACCAGGGTCCTTCTTGGAGGTAAAGATGAAACTTCATCTCATATATTTGAGGATTACTGTGTGTAAGGAGCAGTCTTTGGAAAATAGCAATAAAATGGGGAGGAAAATTGAGGGTCAGCAAAATGAAGACCTTCAATGAGATAGATGAATACAGTGGCAGCATCAGTGGGATTCAGTATGGCAGAAATTGTGACATACCTTGATTGCATGTTCAGTCCATTTCAGACTGCAAGATATGGTAACAAGTTTCAATTTCTTTCTCTTTGACTTTATACTTAAATAATAGTCACATTAACAGAACTTTTATGTATGAATATGGCCAATATCTTATCACTCAAAACACTGTATTTCAGGATAGAATTTAAAATTGATTTTGACATTGAATGCAACACCATTTTTGTTCTGTTTTTCGTTCCAAGCATAGCATACCACGTTGTTTTCTGATTCAAAGTGTCCCAATCTAGTACATCTTATCTCTTTAATGCCTAGAATGTGGATGTTCACACACTCTGTGACATTAAAGCAACATATCATATATTCTATGTTTCAATTATTAGAGGATGTTTGCCATTATTTCTCCTCATTTCAACTTATTTCCAGTCTGGGCTCTACTACTAATGCTATAATTAAGACTTCTTCTCTACTGTTCATAGAGTTTTCAGATCCCTGCGTGGATCATAACAAACTGTGGCTGACTCTGAGAAGAATGGGAATCCCAGAACATTTAATCGTGCTAAAGCGAAACCTATACTTGGACCAAGAGGCAGTCGTCAGAACAGAGCAGGGCAACACTGCATGGTTCAAAATTGGGAAGGGTGTACGCCAGGGATGTGTCCTATCTCCATACATTTTCAACCTGTATGCAGAGCAGATTATCTGAGAGGCTGGGCTCTATGAGGAGAAGCTTGGCGTTAGGATTGGTGGATGATCTATCAACAATCTGCGTTATGCAGATGACACAACCCTGCTTGCTGAAACTGAGGAGGACCTCATGCACTTACTGCAGAGGGTCACGGACTGCAACCTTCAATATGGACTGAGGCTCAATGTCAAGAAGACAAAAATTCTCACCACTGCACCAATCGGTAGCATCAGGATGGATGGTCAAGAGATTGAGATTGTTCACAGCTTCAGTGTGCTAGGCTCCATGATCAACACTCTTGGCACCAGTAGCCAGGAAATAAAAAAACCTATTGCCATGGGAAGGTCTGCGGTTAGGGACCTCTCTAAAGTACTCAAGAGCAACGGTGTCTCTCTGGAGACTACGTTGCGCCTGATACAGGCCATGGTTTTTGCAATCACTTGTTATGCATCAGAGTTGGACAATGACTAGGGAGGATAGAAGGAGAATTGACGCCTTTGAGCTGTGGTGCTGGAGAAGAGTATTGAATGTACCATGGACTACCAAGAAAACAAATAGATTCATCCTGGAGAGGGTTAAACCAGGCTGCTCCTTGGAGGCAAGGATTCTGGGGCTTCGCCTGACGTTCATTGAACATGTTGTAAGGAGGGACAGGTCCTTGGAGAGGGACATCATGTTTGGGAGGGTGGAGGGTGAGCGCAGGAAGGGAAGACCCTCTATGAGGTGGATTGATTCAGTGACTGGGGTATTCAGGATGGGTGTGTCAGAGGCAATGAGATTGGCACAGGATAGAGCAGGTTTTAGGGCCGTTGTGCATAGGGTCGCTATGAGTCGCAAACGACTCGACAGCAATAATTACAACAACAATTAAAAAGTAAATGGCCAATCCTACTTCTTAGTCTGTCTTAATTTGGAAACTCTACTAAAACCTGTTAACAATGGGTAACCTTGTGGCATTTGCAACACCAGTGTCATAGTTTTCAGTTTTAAAGGAACCTACAAGTTATTTCAATAGAGCAAACTTTTAGACAAGTACTGAATACCGGAAAAAAAAGTCTAGTATACACTGAAATAAGGAATACGAGAAGACTGTCCATTTATGATTTCTTGACTATACAGAGGCATTTGACTGTGTGTATCATAGCAAATTATGGCTAACATTGAGAAGAATGAGAATACCAGAGCCCATGCTGTTGTAAGCAGAGCAAGGGAACATCACATGGTTTAAAATTAAGAAGGGAGTGTGCCAGAGTTGTATTCTTTCTCCAAATCTATTCAATGCTGAGCAAATTATTCTAAAAGCTAGACTCCATGAAGAAGAATGGAGCACTAAGGTTAGAGGAAGACTCATCAATAATCTTGTTGTTGTGTTTGTTTTTGTTTTGTTAGGTGCTGTCAAGTCACATACAACCTATATAGACACTATGAATAAAATATCTAACCCTGTTCTATCCTGTGCCATTCTCACCATTCTTGACACAACTGAGCCCATTGCAGCAGTCATCATGTCAATCTACCTGGTTGAAATGTTGCTCCTTGCAACATGCCCAAAGTATGCGAGGTGAAGTCTCATCATTATTGCCTCCAAAGAGCACTCTCACTGCACTATCTCCCAGACATACCTGTTAGTTCTCTTGGCCGTCCATGGGATGTTCAGTGCTCTTCTCTATCATCACAGCTCAAAGGTGTCAGTTCTTTTCCTGTCATTCTTATTCATTGTCTAGCTCTCAGATGCATAACAAGTAATTGGAGAGGCTATAGCCTGAATCTTGGAAGCAGGAGTGGTATCCACTTCCTAAACAGCATGCCTCTGGAAACTCTATGAACTTTGATAAATGTTGAATAGTTAAAGAAAGGCTTCAGACCTTTGGTTCATAGCGTCACAATGAGTTGTATTCTACTCGAAGATAATCAACAACAACATGACCTGAATTAGACACATCTTAGTCCTCAAACTGAGCTCATCACTCCTCAATAATTTGGAGAGGTCTCTAACAGCAGATTTTCCCAGCACAATGTGTCTCATTATTTCCTGACTGCTGGTACCAAGAGTGTTAATCATGGATCCAAGGCAGATGAAGCTATTGACAGTTTCCAATCTTATTTCCATCCATCATGTTGCTACCTATTGGTGCAGTGGTAACCTTAGTTATGCAGAATGGTTGGAAGTGAGGAGGACTTGAAACACTTATTGCAGAAGATCAAAGAATCT